TCTCTCTCTCTCTCTCTCTCCTTCTCTCTTTCTTCTCTTGACGACGCCAATTCAAGATCAATTAATTCACACCCATGAATACAAAACCTTTCAGTACCGCATTACTGATAAAACTTTCGAGCCCAAGAGCTTGAGTATAATTAACATTGGCCCATCTTTTCGTTCCCATTATGAATCTTTTAGCCCAAATGCGCCATTCCCTTTGGTTAATTGTGATTTGAGGGGCCCCAATGCAATGGAGGAGGATGAAAAGGTTGAGAGTTTGGTGGCTATGAAGGATCAGAAGCAACTGGATATGTGCGCTGACGGATTTGAGATTGGGAGGCTAAGTAAATTAGTTGGCTCCGAAGCTACGCATTTAACAGCTGAGTTAGAGGAATTGTATCATAAAATGCTTGCCAAGCTCGATGGGTTGTCAAAAGTGGTCGAACAGGGCTCTGCCAAAGTTCCGGAGCAGGTGAGAATTCTAAGTAAGATTGAATATTCGAAACGGATTGAAAAATCAAATTCCAATATCTCAGAACCTGAGGCAATATATCTTTTTTAACATTAAGGGATGATTTCACATTTTAATGTGGCCAGAAGGTGGAGGAAGATCAGGGAGGGAGAAGAGGAGAATGGGGGAGAGTTTTTTTTTTTTGTTTTTTGTTATTTTTAATATTTTCATAAGTTTTGGACTGATTTGTATTTTAAAAAAGTTTAGGAGCAAATTGTAATTTATTCTTTATTTTTCTTTTCTTTTCCTTTTTGTTTTATTTCAATTGGAGGGCATATCGGTTATTTTATGTTAAAAAATAGGGAAAATGACGTTTTGCACCAAAAAAATCAAAGGTAGGGACGTTTTGTGTCAAAAAATCAAATGTATGGGACGTTTTCCACAAACAGAGGCTAAGGTAAGGACGTTTTGCGCCAATTACCCATTCAAAAATCATGACCTTTCATCTATTTTCAGTCAAACATATTCTAGAATATTCTCACGTAGGTTAATAGAATATTTCATTATGCTAACACGATTTTCAACAATTTTCACATGGTTAAGCTTTTCAATTGTAGCCTTAATTTCGCATTCACTCGAAATTGGTTTGAAAAGTTACAATACTTTACTCACGAAGTAGAATATGTTTAGCCTTCAAATTCCCATAATCAACATGTCTCGCTTAACAGATTGATCAAAGTTGGTCAAAACCAACATTTTGAACCAACTTCCAACAATTTTACGTCCAAGAATGGACCAATCAAAAGTGGACTTTATTCGGTCAACAACTTGAACGATAGCAAATCAGGATAAAGCTATGGGTACAGAAATTTTCCACAGAAAAGTTACAGAATTTTAAAATGGCATAACGTGGCGAAGTTTAAAAAATATGAAAAAGACTTCCAACAAAATTGAAACCAGGAAAGGCAAGGGAAATGCTAAACCCTTCCCACCATTTTCCCCCAAATTTCCCCTCAATTCCCCCCACTCAATTAAACCCGTCCATCTCACAAAATCCCATCAACCTGAGTCCTAAAACAGTCCACATGATAGATCACATCATCTCACCAACTATTTTTTTTCTTTTTCTTTTTCCTTTTTCTCTAATTGAACCCCACCTATCACTTGAAAAAAAAAAGGTACCAAGACTTGAAAAGGGGCATTTAACTTGACCCCGGACAATGATAAATTTTAACTTGTAAATTAAAACAAAGAAAAATCTCACTTTAAATTTTGTGTGCTAGGTCATGTTCCTAGTCATCATTTGTTTTGTGAGATATTATTTTGGCTCATGATCGCTTTCGTAATTAGTCCAAAGCCAATATTGAGTATATCTCGTCGCTCTTCAAACTCTCCTCCACGTAAATTGTCATTACTACCCTTTGAAAAAAAAAAGGTTGGTTGAATCAATTGTTACCTTTAATATAAAAGGGTAAAATAGCGTTGAGAGTAAAATTCAAAAAGTGATTTGACTATGGTACACTTGACATTGTTTTAAAAAATTATAAGGGAACCCACATGATAGTGCAAAAAATCGATTTTTTGAATAAAATAATGCTACCAGACGAGCTAAGATTTTCATCATTTTTCTCTCGATTGACAGAACTCGATTCTAATAAGATATACTGCAATTTCATTTTTCAATGACATCGATCTTTAATCTTTTATCTTGAGCAAGTATCGGTATTGAACTCTTGACAGCAACATGCGACCAAACTCAAACCAAGGGGGTGATCTCTCTTATTGATTAAATATCGATAGCGAACTCCAAAAAATAACATATGATGCAACAAATCCACAAAAGCATCAATCGACATCACATAAGGAGGAGAACAAGAGACTAGCACTTCAGACTAGATTGCAAAAATAAATAATTGTAACAACGGTGGCTCAAATGTATCTCAATAAGGAAGCATTTATGTCATATCGAAAACATAACTCTCATTTAAGTGTGATATCCATTCAAACAGATTATTTTATTATAAGCGATCAAAAAACATTTTCTTAACGTGTTTATCAAAGAAACACGCAACAAATCATAAAAATCACCTAAAGGTACTCGAGCATACATCAAAGGAAAGCTCAAAAGTGATGGTAGACATTTTGATCTAAAAACATTTCTCCCAGGTTGGAATTTTTGTACATATTATAGACATGGATAATCAAAAATGCTACAATCCAAGTGTATATTTACTTTGACATTTGATGTGCTGTTAAAAAATGATTGGAGGAAAAATTGTTCATTTTTTAAATTGTCCAACGGTGTGTTGCCACGTGGCAAAGTGTAAATGATGATGTACATGCAGCGTAATTGATAGATAATATTGATGCATCAAATGTGGTTCAGACATATCAGTTACGTGTAAAACTGGCCATAAATGAACAAAAATAATATAGTTGAGCGCAGGCATGTCACCAGTATTATTGTTATTAGAAAATCTCCCTTCTACAGAAAAGAAGGAAGATATGGCACATCCAGTATTCTTTTAAATTCTCCTCTACAAGAGGCCATTTCATTCAATTCCCGCCTACGCTATGTCATTCCCCCATTTTAAGGATATGGCCAAAGACGCTGTACATCCGAGGTGGAGTAAAGGCCACTGATATGGTGCGTCAATGTTGAAGAGTTTCCAGCGCTGTCTCTTAAGCCCTCTCCAGTCCAGTCCTTTCTGCAAGCGAGAAGTACAAGAAGCTCAGCACAACTTGCTATTGAATATAGTAACCAAATGCACAACCAACCAAAAGAAAGAAGAAAGCCGGTGGTAAGAGCGAAGGCCTCCTAAGCCAATGGACAGGATTCGAGCCACCCCAAAAAAATTGAGAGGAAAAGAAGGGCTGGAATGCAGCAACCCAAAAAAAGTCTAAACATTTTCACATCTGATTCTTAAACAGTAAGACCAAAAAGTAGTAATTTCTGTGTTTCAAAGTATATGTCATCTTTTCCAGTTTGGGGCATGTTTCAGGGCATGTTTCAAATTGAATTCCTGTCATCTTAAAAAATATATATATATTAAGATAAAAAAAGATAATAAGGTAGGATTCATATTTGTGCAGGTCAGTAAATCACAGTAACAAACATTTCGAAAGTATTCGTCATTTTTTTTACTCACGACCACCTCAGCTATGGGGGGTTAGCTGGATCTCCACTTATTTATTAAAGAAACAAGACAATAAGGAAGGATTGAGGTTATATGTGCATTTTATTCAACAAGTAAAAGGAGCTAAAGAAGAATTTGACAAAACGTGGATATGATAGGAAGTCAGAATTATGCCAACATTTAAGAGAAAACTACATATTACAACTTAAATATTTGCACAGGCACACTTTTAGGTTACCTTTGGCACATCAGATTAGAATTCACAAGAAAATACTCATTAAATTAGAGGAAATAATTCAAGGTATATAATATTAGGATAGGAAAAAGGTGAATACTATTTGTGTCATTCATTCAAAAATATACTATTTGTACTATTCTTTGTTAGCCGGCTTAGACCCACGTCCTTACTCCACATTATGTTATCCGGTTAGCTTCAGAAAGATAGTGCAATTTATATTCTTTAGAATAAAAATTATAACATAATATCCACTTTAATCCACCCTAATATTGTCTGCATTGCTGCATAGTATATCTACTATAATTTTATATTTAATTCCATATACGCTCTAATTCGTTGTACCAAGCACATCCTTAAAGCACACTATCAAATATCTAAACCAACTAGAAACAGGTAATGAGGCAACTGGGATTACAACACAAATTTGAAAAAATTGTACAAGAAACAACACAACATATGCTTTCAATGTGAATGTTTTGACAATAACTATGCGTAGGTAAAGGCTCCTGCTTTTGTTAACAACAAAATCTAAGAAACAGAAGTTCTAATTAGAAGGGATTTTAAGGGTTGAAGAGCTTACTTGGCCCAAGAATTAGCTGTAGACGAGTAAAATTGTTGGTTAGCAGCACAATCACAGGTACTCCCATAAATCATACCATTCTGATCAGATTTCTCCCTAGGATTCAACAAAATTTGGTTCTCACTGCTGGAAGTTGGGCCATATAAAGTTTCTGGAAACCATGGACCATCAACAATGCAAGGGACAGAACTATCAAATGTCCTAGCATTCTGAAAATTGCCAAGAAAAACATTTTGAGAAGAATGAGTGCCAGCATGGATTTTCTCATCATTCTTAAACAGCGAGGCCATTTTTTTCTGAGGTGCTGAATGCATAATATCTTCCTTTGGTCTGCTCAGTTCTGGAAGCCAGCTGGCAAGTCCACCTACCAAGCCTAGACCAGCCTGACCTAGAGGAGAACTATTCCACATCTGCCATGTTCCACTGTCATTTGCATCGTTGAATTTATCCTGAACTTTAGGAATACTAGAGGATAAAAATGAACTACCATGCCTTTCCTCTGAAACTCGTGATCGTGACAATGGGGACTGAATTGGTGATGGCTTGGTGACTTCAGATGGTGGAGGTGTAGCCTTCACAGAACATGGTGCTTCCAATATCCTATCTGCTACAAAACTGAGGTCCAACTGAAAGTTGTCGATTGGTTCAGAAACTGGTCCAAGCAAGGATACAGGGTCCTGAACATAAAAGGAGTCTTCAAAAATCTCTGACTCCTCTGGTAAAAGTTGATCTGGCACTTCTCCAACCCTAGGAAATATAGCTCCAGACAACAATGGAAGACATCTACTGCTGTTTGTTAATCCAATAGGAGGGGGTAAAGTAGACGTTTGCAGCTGTCCAAAGTTAATCGGTCCATCAAAAAGTTGTGGTGGGTTCTGAACTTCTGTTTGGGACTTCACATTTGGCCTACCAATGATATTCGGATTAGAGGGTGCAGAAACGGCAGAAGAACGAGTGAATAATTGTTGCCAAGATCTTTTAGGAGCTGGACATGGTTGGGTTTCAGTGACCACCTGTAGTTAAAACCACAGCATAAATATGTGCCCCACATAAAAACAAACCATGACAAAGGCCGTGTGACTAAAACCTATAATAACCTGCTCACAGATGTATGAGATGAGCATTATAGTTCAGAACTCAAGGTAGACTAATTCAAAACTTTATGTTCGGCAAAATAAGATTGAGACACATGCCAAGATATCTATCACCGGAAAGGACATCTCATTGGCCACAATTATAAAAAGTAACATTAAGTGCATTACCAACATCAGGTTACAATATCCATAATGGCAAAGTATGGAAAACTGGCTTCCTTACCTATCAGCTATCTTCAGTTAACTAATCAACACAGTTAACAGCCAACCCAATCCACAATAAAGATAAGCAAACAAGATCAATTAAAGACAAGATAACTTACAGGACGATAGACATTTTTATCATCTCCATTTACATTTGATCTCCCTGATACTGATTCTGGCGGCAATACATTTCTCCTATATGCAGAACCTTGAACATTATCTACAGATGCATTAGGTCTGTGTTCGCTTGAAACAATAGAAATATTAGCACTTCTTCCAAAAAAATCACTTCCACTAAATGCTCTAGAAGAAGATAAAAAGGTGCCCTTCATACGATCCAGATATCTTGTTCCAGCAGTGCCTCGGTTATGGATGCTCATGGTAGCACTTTTAAATCCATGACCCACTTCTACACTATGAGATTTCACATTTTCAGATACAGTTCTGTGTTGTTCACATTTGTTACCAACTATTTTCGGGTTTCGCACACTTTCCTTGCTGAATCTCCTTTCTGATTCCCCGGCATCAGAGTTGCTTTTGCTTGATCCCCTATCTCTTTCTTTCTTTATCTCCTGATGCTTCTTTTCAGCGTCTTTTTTCCTATTTCTATCCATATCAGAAGGGGACTCTTTTCCACATTCTTTTTTGTCCAACTTCTCATCCCGCAATCTCCTACGTTCTTCGACCAACCTTGTCACTTCTTCTCTTTGCTTTCTTTCCTCCTCCTCCAGTAGCTCCTTCTCTAATCTAGCCTGCCTCTTCTCCTCAGCTTTTCTGCGAGCTTTCTCTCCTCTACTCTCATGAAAATTCCCTCCATTCTCACCTTGCTGATCCAATAGCCATGTTAACTCTACATCAGTTGAAGTATCATCTCTGGACGAATTAACCCTAAAAATCTTCCTCCAAAGCCACGCAATACTCAAATAGAAAGCTGTAAATGCCTTGAAAGTAAAAATAAGGATGTTGGAATAAGACTTCTCAGCCAAACAATGATTTTCCCCACCAACATACCCACCTCCATTCTTCTTCAAATAACTTGACTTCCCAGCAAAAGGTCCCCCAACCCAATTCCCATTCTCCAACCAGTCCTTCCCACATATCCACCCATTATCCGACCAAACCTTTCCGTTGAACGTCGAGCCACCTTTCCCAACTAAATACTTCAAAATACCTGCACTCCCCAAATCCAGAGACTCGGGCAAGTCGAGAACTGGCCTCTTTGAAATATGCCCACAATATGAACACGTAAACTTCCCCCCACGGGGATTCTGATCCCGATATGGAGTCAAGCAATTCCTACACCTCCGGATAGCAGTCTTCCTCAACTTTTGAATTTCAATAGCCTCAACCCTCATCCTCTCCCTGAGCCTAGCATTCCTCCTGACCCGCCAGGCAGACAACTTAGGCATCAAAATCTCATACCAAAAAAGGGTTACTAACAGCACGAACACGCACGCCAGCCTTGGAGATGTGATTTCAAAAAGGAAAGCAGGGGGCAATAGCTGCGATAGAGCCCAAAGCCCAATCAGTGGAACCACTAACCATGGCAACATGGTAGCAATCCTCCTTGACCACTTCTGAATCACACACAGTATACACATTATCCTCCTTATGGTGCACCTCTCTCTCCCAGTCTTGATTGGGATAAATGATTCATCAATTGAACTCACAGGAAAAATAAACGAAATAACTTCTCGAATCCCACAAACATATATGTATAATTTCTCCTAAGAAGGAGGAGATTTCAAAAAATCGTATCCTCCAAAATACGTCCCTGTTCTCAATTCTTCCAATGCAATTCCAGTTCTTGCGTTGCTTCCAAACCCAATTGGACCGAGTCGCGAAAACTCCCCTGTTTAAGAAACGGGAATGGATAGACCATCCATTTAATAGCTAATCAGATCGGACCGGACCGTGGCGGACCGTTTGGACCGAGTCGCGAAAACTCACCTGTTTAAGAAACGGGAATGGATCGACCATCCATTTCATAGCTAATCAGATCGGACCGGACCGTGACGGACCGGAGCTGAGATAGATTGGACCTTTTGTTGGGGAAAATGACGTGCAACTTACAAAATTACTCGTAAAATTATGGATCTTTTGAAAAATCATATAAAAAATATTTTAAAAATAAAAAATATTGTGTAAAATTAAATATCAATTTTTATTAAAAATGACATACAATGTCACTTTTATTAAAAAATGATATTTCTCACTTAAAAGAGTGAGTGACAAAAAAAAGTTACACGCAAAAAAAGTGACAATAATTTTAAAAAATGACAAAAATTCAAAAAAGTGAAACCCTAAAATATGTGACAAAATACCTATTAAAACATTGGAATCAGTTTAATAAAGTGACATAAAAAAGTGACAACCAACGTCCCTCTTCTTTCTTCGTTCATTAACAAAACATCAATCAAAACGTCAAGCATTTTTATGTTAATTCAATGCCACCATCATCTATCAACTATGCCAACCCATTTATCTTATAAAAGGTTTTTTGGAAATAAAAATATTGTATGAAGTTAAGTATCATTTTTTTTATTAAAAAGTTCACTCAAAAAAGTAACAGAAAAAAAAAGTGACGCACAATTGAAAAAAGTGACAAAACCTCGAGAAAATGACAAAACATCAATCAAAACCTTTAAATATATCATTTTATGCAAATTCAATTCCAACCTTAAAAGTGATATGATATAACACTTTATTTCTCTTGCAAATGAATTAATGTGATAAAATTTAAAAGTGATATACTTTTTTCACTTTTTTAAAGAAGTCTCACACTATTTCAGTTGTCACTTTTTTTAAAGAAGTCTCATGAATAAAATTAACATTTTCATCTGTTATGGAACCATTCAAAAGAGTGGTGGTTCAAATATCTCTTGATCACAGTCGAAGGGTGGCTCAATACTTCCATGGGCCAACCTGAAGACTCCAATATCCCAATAATCATCAGTAAAGTAAATTGCACTAGCCTTGCAACCTTGATACTCCTTAACCTGAACTGAGGCCGAGTGATTTCCACTGATAAATTCCACCTGCAGCCATTTTTTTCAGTTTACAATCCAATTTATAGGCATTGGATCCTACTATTTTATATGTGCATACTAGAGGCAGAGTTGCATAACCTGTAAGAATATCTCCCGCATATTGAGCTTCTATCATTTTTCTTGGACAAGGAACTCGAATAATCATCTTTCATTTTTTTTTAGTTGAATCATTCAAGTCCTATATTTTGACCAAAGGCAACACCTTGTTGGGAGATATGTAAGAAAATCTGAAAAAACTAATGAACTCCAAGTTTTTTTAATGTGTTTTGCAAATGAGTTTTCGCCCAAAATATATAAAAATGGAGGCAACCATTTGAATAGGTGTGTCATTTAAAATGAATGAACGCGTCTGTTGGAAGAAACATATCTATTCAGGTCGATCCCCGTTGCGTAGTGACAAACACTAGTCGGGACGGCAAAACATTCGCAAAACAAAAGATGAACATACAAAATGATGAAAAAATATGTAACACACCTCAATGCACAAAGCAAATTCTCATAGCATATGATATCATCATATGACTCCTCCCCCATGAAGGCCAATCCATTAACTGTCTCCAGGCCTATAGAGGGCAAGCTTCGACTTGCAATGCAAGTTATACATGGTAATCACTACGTAGTTCGTGTTACAAAACGGAATACTAGAAAAAATCACTTTTACCATCAATCGTTCTTGAATAGTCTTCAAAGAATAGCAAACATAATCCTTTTCACCCTTGTATTGGATTTCAAATTCTTAATTCTTCATTCTCTATTTCACGAANAAATCTCATACCAAAAAAGGGTTACTAACAGCACGAACACGCACGCCAGCCTTGGAGATGTGATTTCAAAAAGGAAAGCAGGGGGCAATAGCTGCGATAGAGCCCAAAGCCCAATCAGTGGAACCACTAACCATGGCAACATGGTAGCAATCCTCCTTGACCACTTCTGAATCACACACAGTATACACATTATCCTCCTTATGGTGCACCTCTCTCTCCCAGTCTTGATTGGGATAAATGATTAATCAATTGAACTCACAGGAAAAATAAACGAAATAACTTCTCGAATCCCACAAACATATATGTATAATTTCTCCTAAGAAGGAGGAGATTTCAAAAAATCGTATCCTCCAAAATACGTCCCTGTTCTCAATTCTTCCAATGCAATTCCAGTTCTTGCGTTGCTTCCAAACCCAATTGGACCGAGTCGCGAAAACTCACCCGTTTAAGAAACGGGAATGGATCGACCATCTATTTCATAGCTAATCAGATCGGACCGGACCGTGACGGACCGGAGCTGAGATAGATTGGACCTTTTGTTGGGGAAAATGACGTGCAACTTACAAAATTACTCTTAAAATTATGGATCTTTCGAAAAATTATATAAAAAATATTTTAAAAATAAAAAATACTGTGTAAAATTAAATGTCAATTTTTATTAAAAATAACATACAATGTCACTTTTATTAAAAAGTGATATTTCTCACTTAAAAGAGTAAGTGACAAAAAAAAGTTACACGCTAAAAAAGTGACAATAATTTTAAAAAATGACAAAAATTCAAAAAAGTGAAACCCTAAAATATGTGACAAAATACATATTAAAACATTGGAATCAGATTAATAAAGTGACAACCAACGTCCCTCTTCTTTCTTCGTTTATTAACAAAATATCAATCAAAACGTCAAGCATATTTATGTTAATTCAAGGCCACCATCATCTATCAACTATGCCAACCCATTTATCTTATAAAAGGTTTTTTGGAAATAAAAATATTGTATGAAGTTAAGTATCATTTTTTTATTAAAAAGTTCACTCAAAAAAGTAACAGAAAAAAAAAAGTAACACACAATTGAAGAAAGTGACAAAAATTTTTAAAAAAATGACAAAACCTCGAGAAAGTGACAAAACATCAATCAAAACCTTTAAATATATCATTTTATGCAAATTCAATTCCAACCTTAAAAGTGATATGATATAACACTTTATTTGTCTTGCAAATGAATTAATGTGATAAAATTTAAAAGTGATATACTTTTTTCAATTTTTTAAAGAAGTCTCGCACTATTTCAGTTATCACATTTTTAAAGAAGTCTCATGAATAAAATTAACATTTTCATCTGTTATGGAACCATCCAAAAGAACTGTGATCGTGCTATAAACGTGTGGAGTGCAAAGCAGAATCTCATGGCATATGATATCATCATATGATTCCTCCCCATGAAGGCCAATCCATTCACTGTCTCCAGGCCTATAGAGAGCAAGCTTCGACTTGCAATGCAAGTTATACATGATAATCTCTACGTAATTCGTGTTACAAAACGGAATACTAGAAAAAATAACTTTTACCATCAATCGTTCTTGAAGAGTCTTCAAAGAGTAGCAAACATAATCCTTTTCACCCTTGTATTGGATTTCGAATTCTTCATTCTCTATTTCACGAATAACTTGAATGTGCGGAAAGTTTCCTTTCTGGGGAGTTGAAAAATGGACTCTGAAACAATATCTACAAGAAAAGGGTCTGATTTCTCATTCAAAATCACCAACCATCCATGAGAAGACCCTAGACAGCGACAATCTTGGAAGGATTGTGCACGAGGAGCAATACTAGTCAATTTTACTTTATATTCCTACTTGCTCACCGAAGAAAAAAATATAACACATTATTCATCCATCTTTTCAATTGATTACGTGTTCGTCACTCGTTTAATTTATGTCATCTTCAACTAATTAAATATGCTACTCGATCGACAAAAATTCGACGTGGCACATAACTGACTTTAAATCAGGCTAAATGGGCCAAAAGCGTGCCATTCCTCCAAATTTCTTGTTTACAAGTTCTTTACATCGGCATCTAAATCTGAAAGGGGCGATTTTCTCCTCTAAGAAAATGCAACACTTGGGAAAAGTAATCCATGAAGGAGCTCTTAATTCAAATCTTTGATCCTGAGTATCTAACCTATCTATTTCCGAGGTTGATCGAAAGATTACAAGATCTTTGAGAAGGCTTCTTGTGTAATCTGCTACTTTACAAAACCACCACAGTTGGCAAACTAGGTTGCTCATTTGCATTGGGTACCTATCAACGGTGCAAGTGCATGCTTCAAATCAGTTATCACTTTTTCCATTGCCAAGTTGCGTCTAATGGATTTTTCCCCATCAGATCTTCTCGAGTCCATTTACTAAGAAGTGAGAGGTGAAGCAAGAGTAGGTCAGGAACATCAACCAACATGATGAAATTCAAGATTTCAACTTGAATTTTGGGGTGAATTGGTGTTTAAATTTGGATGGTCCTTCCATGGATTGAAAAGCTTGCAATACACAGGACCTTTTTGTGCTTTTGGCTCATTTGGCTTGATTTAGAATTCCGTTACGTGCTATGTTGTATTTTCATCCATCACGTGACACATTCCGTTGGTTGAGAATGACAAAAATCAAATGAGTGATGAATGTGTAACCAATTGAAAAGATGGGTGAACAACACGTTATGTTTTATTATTCGATGAGCAAGTGGCAATATAGAATAAAATTTGACGAGCATTGATTAAATTTACTCGTGCGTGAGCGGGGTTTTGGTCCCCATTATATTTGTGGTATAAAATTAGGAATGTGAATTTCATTTAGTAATTATATTTTATTTGTATCACTATTTAATTATATTTGGGGTCTGTTTGAACCTCATTTTTGTGTAAAAGCATTTTGGAATAATAGATAGATGGAAAATGTGTGATTAAAAATAAATGAAAAGTTCTGTTGGTTGAGAATAACAGAAATCAAACGAGTGATGAATGTGTAACAAATTGAAAAGATGGGTGAACAACATGTTATGTTTTATTATTCCGTGAGCAAGTAGCAATATAGAGTAAAATTTGACGAGAATTGATTAAATTTACTAGTGTGAGCGGGTTTTTGGCCACTTATTGGCCTTCTAATATACAAAGGGCGTCTCCAAGGATTATGTTGTAAACTTTTTCAACGTGGGATAATAATTTCTTTAGTTTAGCTGTATTATGTTGTACCATTGGTTTAGTTGGAATGTATTGTACTTTAAATCTGTTTCCTAAAATTCCATTTCTCGTTCACTTATTACCATACTTTCTCTCAACAAATATTCGTTTACTGTGAATATAGTAGCTAACTAATCACAACGTGTTACATAAGGCAAATATTATATAATTGTTCGATTTTTCGTAATTTTCTCCAAATCGATCAATAATATAAGAATCTGATAAATCATCCCAAACCGGCTTACTTTCATGATCTAATAATCCATTTTCTTGATCTTATCCTATTCTTGTTCCAACTCGTTGTCTAATTTTTATGATTTTTTGATAATCCAATCCTCAAAAATGTGAAGTGTGCGAGAAATGATGTTGTGATTGAGATTTTGAATAAGACGACTTTTTAATTTTTCATTGTTTTCCGTTGGAAAAAGAAGGGATTTTTTTATTCTGTACAAATAAATAAATAAATAATGAGGGAAATGCACTTTTGCCTGAAACACGGTTCCCAAATATCTATTTTATGCCTTTGAGCACGTATAGAACCTTTGATTCCTACAATTTCCCTGAACCGAGCAATGTATCAAAAATCTTTCTATCAATCATGTATATAGTCCTTTGTATAAATGATTATTTATATTTTATTAAGTCCATTAATCATTTTCCCTTCAATTAGCACTATTATACTATATATTGTTTATAGTTCGAAAATGAATTAATTTTGTTAAGCTCTTAAAATTGCATTTGGTACTATAATTTGTATTTAAAATTAGATGATTTTTATATTGATTAAAAAATTAAAATAATCATAAATAAAAAAAATATTTATTTTACGCATGAGTCTTGCTTAGCCCGAAACTTGGCATTCACACTTTGCCACGCATTACGCTTTTTAGAGCATTAAAATAAATTGTTTTGTGCATTCCCAATAATCATTTTAGAGCAAACCCCGTTATTAAAGTCGATGTGTGTTAATTAATGGAAGGTTAAAAGAAAATAATTGAACGAACGAACATAATTATTACAAATTAAGAACCTTGAATTATCGGGCTTGAATTATTTAATATGCCGTGGATGTATTGGGTTGTTGCCTGTTGCGTCAAACCCAAATTATTTAGGACATAAATTTTTTGAATGATTTTCAACAAGGGGTCATAACATGGTTGAGTGCAAAGTATTCTATGTTAGTTTGAAACTGAAGCTACTACATATTTAACGTTCACGTTGTACACAATATGACTAGATAATTCAGCAAAGTTAAAAAGCTCAGAGAAATAGATTAGGGGTGTCCAAAAGTTCCGAATCGAACCGGATCGAATTGAACTCGAACCGAATCGAGTGATTCTTCATAAGTTGAATACCCGAATTGGTATTCGAATCGAGAACTGATGGGTTTGGGTCGGGTCTGGGTTTAGACTAAGAACCGAAGAACCGAAACTAAATAATTTTTTTTATTTTTTATGCATACAAGCTACTTGAAGCAAATGAATTTACTTTATGTAGTGTTGCTGTAATATTAATATCTACTTTTTGGTATTTGTGTCCATTGAATTAATCTTATTGGACGGCTAGTTATTTATATGTTTTTGAATGGGGCTACGTTAATTTGTAAAAGTTACGAATGAAATGTCATTAATTATATTTATATAGTGTTGCTGTAATAATGAAATGTCATTAGTTGTATTTATGTAGTGTTGCTGTAAATATTAAAAAAAATTAATTATGGTATGGAACCGAACCGAACCGAACCGAACCGAACCCGAACGGTTCCATAATTATATTTGGACCCGACGGTTCCATTTATTAAATACCGAAAGTTTTAGGTCGGAACCGAACCGACCCACGAACAGCCCTAAAATAGATAATAGATCCTTGGACCACATCTCCAACATTAATATGGATTGCATTTAAACGGCTACTACATAAGTTAAAATAGACAATGTCTACAAAAGTTACTCTCCAATACAACATGTCTATATCTAGCTGACGTTGTAAGAAAAAGTAAACATTATCAAGATGATCGTCTAGATGTGCATAGAATAAGTCACCATATTTCAAATTTTCACCTTTTATGCTTTCTCGTTTCTTAATTTATCTCACTTGTCTATTATTTTAAATTTGTCCTATTAAATATACAATAGAGTTGAAATTTGAATTATAGATGTACTCATTGAAGATGAAAGTTGATTTATAGATGAACTAATTGTTATTATAATCAATTAAAAAAATTTATAATTAAAAGTCGTGGGTCCAAAAAATTTATAATTAAAAATAAGTACGAGAAAAAATGAATTTTAAAAAATGAAGTCAAACAAGACTGCTATGTGATTAACTATAAGGGTATGTTTGGTTTGCCATTTTCAAGTTGTTTTCAGATTTTCAAATACTGAAAACGTATTTAGTCTGATATTTATAAAAATACAATTTCAAAAACAAGGTAAAAACTTATATTATAAAACACAAAATACATTTTTGACGTTGTGTTTGTAGAATTTTCTCTAAAAACACTCAAAATTTGGAAACAAACATTTAAATAATTTTTTTAAAATAAATTTTACAAATTTTCAAAAAATTAAATAAAACGAATATAAAATTCTAACAAATAAAATTAAAAATTAAAAAAAATCTAAAATCCTTTAAAACTAAATTCTGAAAAATAAAAAAAATAAAAAATCTAAAAAAATAAAATTAGAAAGTTTTCTAGAAAAATAAAAATTATAAAAAAAAAAATAGTTCAAGCTTTTAATGATTATTTTTATAAAACTTCTAAAAAAAATTAAATAAAAATGGATAAAAATATTCTCATTTCATATATTTTGAACTCAATTTATTTTTTATTTTTATATCAAAAAATATTGTAAAATTCACCAACTTTAAAATGTAAATATTTCTTGATAATATATTAACATAAAATTATTATATTTTTACGCAACAATCTAATTTTATGGAATAAAATGTCATAGCGTCAAATATGAGTAATTTGTGCAAAACGTTCCTATAGTTTACCTTTATTGTGCAAATCATCCCTATTGTTTCAGTCTTAGCATTTGGACTCTTTGATCGAACTTTATTTGCGTAAAAAGTCCATAACATATATTTTCTTCATTGAAGTATTGTAAAATGATTATTTTACCATCCTCTTTAAATAAACAAATAGAAAAAAATATTTAAAAAATAATAACAGTCAAAGTTCAAATTTTTAAATAGTGCAAATGAGTCCTACTAAAAATAATTTAAAACATATTAAGAAAAAAAATCGTCTTCCAAAAAAAACAAAAGATTTATTTTCCTCTTAACTCTCTTTGAATTACAACATTTAGGATTTTGGTTTGAATTAAAATTTTGAATGAACCCTTTAATGGAAGAAGAAATAAAATTATCTTTAGACATCATTTTGTGAGGTAAAAAAATTTTGAACAAAATCATAGCTAAGTTCAAAAGATGATGTTGTGCGAGCGTGCTCAGCAACAAAAAAATAGAAACAAGAATTTGCAAAAAATACTAAAAAAAACTCGTGTAATTTCGCTAAAAACTAAAAGATGTTGGAATACGAAACTTAACTACGGAAAAATAGTTAAATCTCTGGATGATGCCGCGGTGGAATAGGTAGAAAGGATGATGGTGACTGATGGCCGATGGTCAAATGGTAGGGTACGGAATTGGATATGGAAGAAGAACGATATTTTTCTTTCTATTTTTAATTATTTTCTTACTTTTTTATATACTTTTATTTCTTTTTTTAATTATTTTATGGTGGTGGTGGTGGTGGAGGGTAGGGTAGGGTAGGGTAGGGTAAGGTAGGGTAGATGGGGTTAACTGAGACGATAAAATATTTTTCTTTTGTTAGAATATTTTAAATTGTTTTACGTGAGATTCGTTTGTACCTTTTAAAAACTTGATACACTGGCCGAATTTTTTTTATTATTTTTTTTATTTCTTTTCTATTTATTTATTTAAAGCAAAGAGTAAATTAATTATTTTCCAATGTTTTATTAGGAAAAATGGACAGTAAAGATATTTTGCACAAGGAAAGGTCCATCTGATGGTCCAAATGTCAATATTGAAAACGATATGGATAATTTGAGCAATAAAGGCAAACGATAAGGATGTTTTGTTTCAATTACCCATATTTGACGGAAGGAATTGACGGAACAAAACAGAGATGAACAATATCGAAAGAAACGATAAAAACGTTTTGTGCTAATTATCCTTTCAAAAAGAAATTTACCACAAAATAATCTCAAAATATCTCTAACAAACCTGAGCTTAATGTGCTTTGCCCGCTCATCGAAACTAAGTTGTAAACTATTTGTATATCTCATCATTATAATTAGGACTCAGAGTTACATGAGAAATTTCCATACTTACAAGTAACACTCAAATGTAATATCGTTAGAGAAGCAACAAAATGGCTAGCAATATAAAATCTAGAATGAGATAAATGAAAGGAGTATCGACCGTCAAAGTATTAACATGCTCAATGACATTTTGTATAATTAAATTGTGATAGAGTTAAAGCAACTTCGTGCCACAAAGTAACCCAGAGGATTCAAGTCCTTCAAAATAACAAGCTAATTTAGATTTCAACACTACATATCTCGATAGAAATGTACTTAACAATGAAAACCAAATCTTAATTATTAGGGCAAAAGCCAAGAGAGGCATTCTCAATGGAGAAATTCTCAAACAAAATTTAGTATGCCTGATTGAGATAATATTGAACTTAGCCGATCCGTACACTTCTCTAGAGAAGGTACTATAACCATCTTCATGAAGATTCTCGTTCAAGTTGTTCTTGATATGTGTATGAGAGATACACCACTAATGGATCGAGGCAACAAGAAGCAGCGTGAGACTAGTAGTTGTTTTAGCAACAAGAGCAAATATCTCCTCGTAATCAATGTCATATTGTCAAGTAAATCACTTAATAACTTATCTGGACTTGTATCACTCAACTAAGCAATTATACCTCGTTGTATTCGTACGAATTAAATAATTAAACATGTATGGAAATCTTAAATAATTTATGTGTAGCTGGATATGTAAAGTTTGTATGATAAAATCTTACATATTTATTAAGTACATAATGCGTGGCATATATGCGTTGACATGCGCCACGAGTAATTCAAGAGTACACATAATATGTGATACGCTAGTTGGTAGAACCATGGGCGGAGATAGGGGTGTGCCCACCCCTGCTCAAGCCAAATTCTACTCGAAAAATAAAATAAAATTTTATAGCACTTTTTTTTTCTGTCCAACCCGGTAGTCCACTGTCTAACTCACTAGTCCCCGTCTCACTGAATCCTGGCTCCGCCCATGGGTAGAACACTCTATAGGTGAACTTAGAGGATCTAGATAGAAGCTATGCATGATTACTACCTATGTGATGTCCGTACTAATTATACATGTATGGAATTATGATGTATATATTCAGTAGATGCACTATCATACTTGTTGAAAATTTGTTGTAACGCTGATTTTTCTATTATTGTAGGTGTCAATGGTAAAGAATGTTAAGACCATTCAAAACATTTATCAAGAGAATACAAGAGCATGTTTGACAATTTTATTAGCCAGCTTATAAGGCGTGTGTTGTGATCACTATTTATTTTGGGCCACGAATATAATCTGGGGTCCATATCTTATAAATTGACTTTTGTTGACCAAAATTCGGTTTTCAATCCCAATTTGGTAAAGGCCACCATAGTCACCGAGTCACGAAAGAGAGAAAAATGAAGTTATACATTAAGTGGTCACCGCCCTAAAAACGTGTTAGGAAACATATGAAACTGAAAGTACTCGTTAGATGTCAAACGACATTAAAATCGCACTTACTACTCTTATCCGTAAAATGCGAGAATAGCTGGGATTACTCCATACTGTACTCTCTTCGATTGTTGATCGGCGATTGAGGAAACATGGCGAGAAATTGTAAAGTCGCCACTGCGGCGACGGCGTTGATTATACTACTAGTGATTTCAATGGCACTGCCTTCACTCGCTTACAGACCCGGAGACATCGTTCCTATGAGCCGCATGGGTCAATACCACTCTGTAATTCTCTCTCTCCCTTTCTCTTTCTATCTTTCCAATAGTAGATATGTGAAGTCAATGTTATAATTGATTAATATATATGTATTATTTGCTTAAATTATGCAGATGAGGACGGTTTGGCATGATATGATCGGGAGGCACTGCCCAATCTTCGCTGTTAATCGCGAGGTAATCTTCTCATTCTTTGTTTTTCTTCAATTTGACTCTAGTCTAGGGTTGTTTTGCTTTTGAAAAATTGTTGTTCTGATTTTTATTCCGATTATTTCCGGGCTTGTAGACTTTGATTCCGATACCCAAACCTACTGGTTATACTGGAGCTGATCCATATAAAATGTGAGCCTCAAATTCCCTCTCAAACGAAGTTTTCTTTATTATTTTGCATATTATGACATGTTCATTGTAATTCCCTCTTTTTCATTTTTCAATTAAGTCTTGGGGTGGAAATGACCAGAAAAATGTAGAACATTTAAAAGGCTAGGAAAGGAAATTGAAACTTCAAGGGAAGTTCTGTAAAAAGGAAATCGATCTTTAAGCAAGTCATGCGGCCAATTTAATGTGTGGATGTTTATATAGTTATAAGTTATTTTTGGTGAGCTATGACATGGATGCAAATTGCAATATCTAAATCCCTTGGCAACACATGTTTAGAAGTGGAATTTTATAGTTGATATTTTGGTACTTACACAATATA